AAATCATTGGTAGGCAATCGTTCGATGGGTTGAATTGCACAAAACGCATGATCGCACCGGCTAGTCCGGTGCGCGTTGCTATTTATTCTACACTGTTACTGTTATTACCAGAAAGACCTGCAGTGCAGAAATATACAAATCAGTGTTTTTGAAATCTCATCAAACAGTATTTTAACCCAATATTTGACAGTTGGCAAGTTATTTAAATTAAAAATGCTCAAAATTTCCAAAAAATCTTCTTGCGCCAGTTGCATCGTTATTAATAAATACAATAAAACTGCAAATCTTATGTTAGGAACGATTTCGTACGTTTTATTTGTGTATATCTAAACAGCACCAATTTAGCCTCCATACACACATACCGGCAACGCTTTGCCCTCGTTTTTATTTGTAAGTGACATACGCCAATAGGATCGGCAAAACAGAGGTCCTTTAGGGAAAACAGGCCGGGCATTCCTACGCAATGTTCGTCAGTTCTCGAATTTAAAGTGGTCCCATCATTACATCAAAATTTACGCAAGGAACATACCAATCTGTTGCATCTCACTATTATTTTCAAACGTTTCCCCACGAGCGCGGAGTAGCGTGATCAAATTGATGCCCGAGTATTCAAGCGGCGACAGATCGAATGCTCGTCGATACCATTCAATTGCTTTGTCCAGTGATTCGCGATCCTCGTAGTTGCTGGTGATAAATTTGTCCTTGTAGATACGCCCGGCCAGACAGATAACATCCGGCGAGACGGCGGTACCATCTTTGCAACTGGAAGTTATCTGCAGCACTGTCTGAAGAGCACGATCGCGATCGCCTTCTCTGTTTCGTCTGAAGAACAACGTCTCCGTTCAAACTCCAGAAATACTACCCCTACCACTCGTTTTGACATTCCACTTTTTGTACTTTGTCCAGCTGTCTTGTCAGCCCCCTCACGCTAATTCTTACCTGCACACCAGTTCTGCATCTAGCAGAACTTGACCAGATCTATGTAAGCCTAATGGTGAAACTAGCGTTCGTTTTGATACTGTGTTAATAATTTTTTTTAAAAAAAAAGAAAAGAGGAAACGCAAAAAACATCCCACGTAAATTTTAACTTGGCTGTCGGGGAACAAGGAATAACAATCAAACCAAATTCATCTTACCAAAATGAGAAGATCCTACAGAACTAGAGGGAGTTAGTACGAACCGTGCCAATTTAAACCGGGAGAGAGACGAGAAAAAAGAAAGAAAAGAAGCAAAAACCAATTCACAGATGATCGAATTTCGGATGGTCTAGAAATATTCTCACCTATAAATAGTTTAAAAATAATTTCAACAGATGAAAAACACCAGAAAAATGTTTATAATGTTGAAGGTAGGAGAAGGGACGGGATACGCAGGAATGTGACAAGGAACCTGTTTAGGGCAAAAGCATAAAGGAAGCAGATGGCTTGTGCATTCACTATCGAGCAGTTCTCGATTCGGCTTAAATCGTCGTACAGGCTGATCATCGCATCGTAGTTTTGATTATCGCTGAAAAGAAGAAAACATCAATAAACAAAATGAGAATGGAATTGGGCTCTTTTTACTTGAACTGTAGCTTCACAATAGTCGCTGTTTTAACTCCTCTGCTGATAAATTTTAAGAAGCACACGCTCCAAAAAGTAGTTTTCAGC